ATGCGAAATAATAACATTGCCTTAGCCAGCCCAGTCATCCAGTCAGTCAGTCAGCCAACCACTGAGCGAGAAGTTAACATTTCCATAATTATTTCCTCGTTTCACAATGAGTTTTCGTTTGCGACATCAGACCTGTCCACTGCATTCAGTTTCCAGAGCAGCGACGATACACACCTATCCGTTTCTATGTAAAATTTTCTGCCAATTTATTTCTCGAATTTCCGGAAGGAAATGCAAATTGCACGAGTCTTAATTTCTTGACTCCGCGACAACAAAAGATTCCAAGAGCGTCCGCGACTCGCTTCGATGGGTATTCGTATTCTGATCTCTTCCATTTGGATACTTCCGGTTCTCACGTAACTGCGCGACATCAGTCACGGCCGAGCGAATAAGAATTTGCTCATAAGACTACAGTGACGACTACAACTATAACAGCACAAGTCGAGACCAATTCATTTTTCGTATCGACAATTTTCTCATTGTTGCGTCGCGACGTCGTTTCGGTCCATCGCGACGATATCTTCTCCGATAAGGTTCAGTTGCCGCGATTAGACTGATTTAACGAAATTGCAATTATCCACTTGCTATTTACAAAATTGCTAGTGAATTTCTGTCGCAACTCAGTATAACATGTAACAGAGATAGGTGGGGGTAAGATGGACTACCTGCAAAAAATTTATTGAAGATCAAAAAAAGGCAGAAAATTGTAATATATTTTTAGAATTTATTCCAGCATCATTTTTTCACGGATTTTATCTTGCTCCATCCTCCTCTACATACTACAGAATTTGAATCGGAAATTTATCAAGAAATTTTACCAATCGATATTATGACTAATTAACAGCATCTTCTAATTGATCCAATTCCACGTATTGTATTTATCATATAAATAGACACAATTCCACAAACCCATAGTTTTCTCACAATTTGATGAGTGCCGCTGGAAATGCCTGAGACCGACGCTGGCGTCTCGAGTGACATTACTTAAAGGTCAGAGAAACTTGGACGCCGACGTCTATAGGTACTATTGCCCGACGCTAACTCCACGTCCAACTCCTCCCAGAGCGTCCTCTCGCTACGAGCTTCTTCCATTGCATAATAAAGATGCAATTTACTTTCGTCGTTAACAGCCTGATAAATGATTCTCGTGTTTTTATCTCTTTTGAAGATTCGCCAATTTTGAAATTTGCTAGGCATATCGGCTAAAATGCCTTTACCATTTCGCTACTGAATAATTTCAATTTGTCAGAAGTAGTTGGATCTCTTTGGTCAGACGCTCAAGGAGTAACGAACGATCATCGTTCGGCTCGTCGTTGTCGCGAATAATAAGAGAAACGGGAAATTCCTGGCATAAAATCTCTTTAATCAAGGATTACCAGTATGCAAGCAATATGTCTCCTTTATATGCAATGCCAACACACATTAGAATCCAGCGTAGGCACATATGGGCATCTCGAAATTTACATCGACCTGCGTATACCCACTGGTGAACACAGATTGCGTAAGCTTAGCGGTTTTGCATCGTGCTGCGGCTGGTGGACTTTTACATTAATTCATTCTTTGTACTATATACAATATCGGGTATGACGTTTGCATTTGTACATGCGTATAAAAAAACAAGTCTACCAGAATTCCAACTAAATCGACTTCTTCTGCATCGCGAAGGAAACTGTAATCGTAGATAGGGTAATTATTTTTGGAAAAAAAATATTCACCTCCCTTCGGGCTGTCTTTCACTTACATTATTATTACTAGTATTTTAATAATACATTGACTTCACTTTTCTTCCTTTCTACGTATTTGTTCTCGCTCGGCTTACTATGGACAATAATTCGAAATCTTGAACATCGTATTTCATTGTCTCACGAGATACGCTAAATTGACTGTAGTCATATGGTTCTTCGATCCTTTGGTGTTATCACGAATCTACCATGGATACTTCCAAGCTATTTTCGACTAGCCTAAACGCCCACAGTGCGCAAGGTTAGGAATGTCTTACATATTCAAAATTAAGATATACATATATGTTCTACGAGTCTATAACGGGCGTCTCGTAGTTCGTTTATTGCGAAAGACAGTAAAGATAGTGAAGAACGAAAGTGAAAGATCATTATTATATCGATGCTTATGATGCTCGTATAGATACTTTCTTGGGACAGGATAAATCAATGAAACATTGTTTAGAAAGATATTACAAGAGATTTAAACGTATTATAAGATTCTAAATATATATTTTATATTTTATATTTCTTACGCGATGTCGTTAGACAAGTCGTACTCGGTAGTACAGAAATCCTTGAACCGAGTGTTTTATTCAATTATCGTAGATACGTAAGGCGAGAAGTAGTTGCATGGAAAGTAAGGTCGTATTAGCGGAAGTCGACTGGAAGGACAACGCGAGTCGTGATGAACAATTCCAAAAGTCATAGGACGACAATAATAATAATTACCTGCGTACTGTATAATATAGATGTAATATTTCCGATATCACGACATTGTTATCACCTCGTTTTCTTCGTAACGTCCACATAGGTTATCAATATCGTTGCTATGGATGCTCTTTATAAGTGAAATGTTCTTCTCTGGACTCTCAAGGCCGACGAGGTTCCACTCCTCTCACTTTCGTGTCTCATTCCCTACCGGGCCTCTCGAATCTGACTCCTGTTCTTGCATTCTCCTTTCTTATCGTGCACCTTACGGCCTCATCTGATCTCATCCTGATGGATGCGAACGAAGCACGATCGTCTATAATGAGAATTCAAAAAGATGGCGCGTACTGTAAAATAGCGGGAAATTCGAACTAGCTTAAGAATTTCATGAATATTAATAGGCATTTTCTATATATATATTTACGTCTGTTGTAGCTATAGGATTTAATAGAAGGGACGTGTTTTCATTGACTGACGTAGACTGGACTGTCCTGGCTGGCCGATAAGGGGCAAAGTTGCGCGATACGGTTCACGGGCCTTTTTCCTAGCAGCGAGTAAAGTCACGTGGTTTAAAAGGTGTGGTGACAAGTTTAATACGTACACATGTATGGAAGTTTATAATAAGGGATATAAACGGCGACAAGCACATACGAACCAGCACGCCTGCGGCATACCAGGATCGTTCCCTATACGGGACACCTACTAGATGTATCCGTTCTTAAACAGAATGGCATTCTTAATCGACGACTATGGAATTCGCGTGGCGAATTGAGATAGGAACGATGGCGAATGTTTCTATAGGTCAAAATGTCCCGATCCTCCTACGCGTATTTATTGCCGCCACGTACTCGTTTACTCATCTGATGAAATTGACCGAGAATCCCGGTGTCGCGTGTTAAATTATGCCGGGAGGTAGGGGAAAAAAGGAATAAGCGTACGTACGATAATAAAATTACATAAGGCAGTGAAATGTCAGCCCCGCTGAGGTACGCTGACATATAACGATTGGACGTACTTAAATTCCCATTTCGTCCTGTGGCCACTTCTCTTGCAATGGATTTATAGTACGAAATCAATGGAACGACCGACTACTGGAGTGTTTATTCTAAAAATGATATACTTAAACGTTATACTGTATGCCTGTTGGTGGGATACTATGTATTATTTATTTGGAAATTTTTATTAGAAATTTTATGCTTATATTGATCGATCGTACGATAAAGTCAGAAATAATTTTCTTGTCTACCTGTCTGTATATCTTGGATCGTTTACCGGGTTTATTGGAAATTATTTTTTATCAATTTCAGTGACGTTGTATGTCAAAGTGTCAAGTAAAATTATGATTTATTGTAACGTTAAGCAAGATTAATGACCTGACATGGTATTTCAATGTTTTAATCACTTGTTTGTGATCCTTGGGAGTTTCTTATTGTCAGTGATATTTTTATCATTCGATTTGATGGAATAGCGAGCCAGGCACCTGTGCAAATTTCATTGGGTGATTTAAAGCGTTCGAAGAAAAGTTTCTCTCGGTCTACTCGACTAGCGTATAACTACCGTTCATGACTGTAACAGGAGATAGAATCATGATTGATATACGTGGACAAGTATAGGCAGTTATTAAATACCTATTTGTAACAAGGTAGTAGATATCCCAGATGACTAAAGTAGGTTAAGCATAGCGAAATACCGGTATTTACCAGCTTCCTGTATCCGCGAGGATCTAGTTCCGCTTGGTATCGAACGTTCCATTCTTTATCGGAAATCGGATGAAATTTGTTGATAGTCGAGTGAAATTATTTCTTGGATGACGAAACGCTATGTCTGGTGAAAAAAAAGAATGAAATTAGTCAAGTATCAACATTATTTTGTAATTTTTTCCATGCACTGCAATTAATATTCGTGAAGATTAAATAATTGATAAATAAACATAATATTTTTCAATGACAAATAATTTCATATTTATTAATTTTTTTTATTTATTATTTGTATGCAATTTTTGTACCGATTTTTACGAAAAAATGGTTGCTGTTTTGACATTGGTACTGCAATGCCCGTTCGTTATACTTGTTACGAAATATTTCAAATAACCGAATTGCTCGAACCTTCACGTTTTTCACTTTCACCCGTCGTGGCAATTAAAACGCAACGTATTAATGCATGAAAATATCAAATGCAAACATTCTTAACGCCCAAGGAATATAGAACGCCAGACGTGTGGACTGGTTATGTAGTGTCACTAACAAGGTCGAATAACTATGGCAAATAACTGGTAAGTACATACATCAAGTTTTTCAAAGTTTATCAGTTCAACGTAGTACTCCCTGATTAATCGAGGGGCTTCCTGACAAATACTGCAAATAGCAAAAGCACTCAGTGCTAGGAGGGGATGAATTTTTAGATAAATTTCCGAGCACGAATTTTCAAAACCGTAAATAGCAAATTCAAGTAGGATTATCGTAACGTAACATACGTAAGATTCATGCGGATCGTTGACAGTTCCTCCTTTTGTGGTCTATCATCGTAATATGAATAATGGTAAAGGTTACTACAAATGCAGTTTCGTCAGGCTCTCGGGTAAATATGTGGACGCCCACGTGAAAGATTACTATCACTCGGCGAAAGAATTCGCTTCGTGTGCTTTACCTTTATTCTCATTAATTTACATTTATACAATATTTTAGGTTAGTCAGAGAACGGCAATAGTCTCCTATGTACATGATTTCAGGCGTTCCTTTGTACAGATTGCACTTATTTTTTTTTTTCTCGTACGCGTACACGGTAACCCAGCGAATTGTTGTTTCTCATTATACTCTTATCATTCACATTTGTTTCCTATACGAAGTCGAGTTACTATAACCACTTTTATTTAACGTCAGTCGGAATTGGCAAAATTACATAGCGACCGTGTATCAATGATAACGGACTGCTCGAAACTGCTATCACATTACACTTTCAAAAACACATTACACATAATATCATCGTGTAGTTAGAGTAGAAAGTAATATCGATCGGTATGGGCACTTTTGTATGTATAAAAAAAATATAAAGACGTGAGGGATATGAAATTTCGTAAGGAATTCATTAATTGAACGAAACGGCGAACATCCATTGCTTCGACATTCGATCATTCTTATGAACGATGCAGAATTGACGCTCAGGCCGAAATCGCCAATCGTGCCTAACCTCTGCGGTAGGGTTTGGGCTTCACTTGGACCTCTTCCTGTTGGGTCTCTTCGACCTCCTCTTGAATGGGCTTCGATCCTCGGGTCGATCCGAATCGTCCGCGAGTCGTCGTCCTTGCAGGAGCTTCACCGGATGAGCCATTCCTGATGCGATTATTGGACGTTGACCTTTATCGATGAAAAGACGAATTAAATATTAATAATTTCAATAAATATGATTTTTTTCTTTTTCTAATGACTCATTTTTTTATTCACTTCGGTTTAGATGTCGTGGCTTCGGCAGCTGCCTGCGTTGCCGCAGTCTCCCGTGAATGGCTACTGCTGACCTGAGCTCTTCTCCTCTTCAGGGCAGCCAGGAGGTCCTCGTTTGATCTGCGGAATCAGGAATGACCTTTAGTACCTATGCTATTATTTAATTAGTACTTGGTTCAATTGTTTAATATATTTTTCAGAAAATCGTCAACCTGAAAGGCCTGACACCGATGCGCAACTTCTTTGAGGCTTCCGTTGTCGTGGTGGGAGCTTCTTCCTGTTCCTGACTCTCCTCTAGAACCTCTTCGTTGTCTTCTTCGTTCTGGATGGGTTCTTCGACCGGCTTGGGTGTCGTGGACGAAGGCTGAGAAACAAGGTTATTCTTACATTAATATTGAATTATTCTACAATTTCACGTCCTGCAGTTAGTGCCTTAGGATATACAATACAATTGCATTCAATAAGATTAGACGCTGAACTTACCGCTGCTGGTTTTCTTCCCACAGGAGCTCGACCTCTTGCAGACAAGAGCCCACCTAGTCTTCCTACTGGTCTCGCAGGCGCAGGTGTAACCGGGGCTGCTGGTTCCTCTTCATAATCGTACTCCTCCTCTGCAGCTCTGCCAATAGCTATAAGGCACAGTGCCAACAATCTGAAAGATTAAATATTTTATAGTTCAGATAATGTCATCTATGCAAGATCACAGGCTGTGCACTCTGTGTATCATGTAGACCTTACAACATACAATGAGTCGATTCACGTTTTACAATGGAAGTTAGACGTCGCGTATACTATGCACTTCGTGCACGACAACACCAGATGGATTCTGACCTATGACATTCACGTACGAAACTTACTTTCTCTGCTTGGCTCACGGCACTTGGGATCGGCTCTGTCGTAGCCAGCATAGATTCATACGTGCGCGACTTTACAAATGTCATGAAAACCAGCCATGAATTTTGAATAAAAGACACATATCGAAACGTGACAAATAAATTCATTATTAATCGTATATTACAAACGTACATAAATCAAATGTCAAATCAGCTTAGCGAAATAGCAATGCAATTTCTGAACGTTCTCACGAGGCATGCATTGTAATAAAAAGAAAAATATATATCCAGCAGCTTCATATCGATGTAACACAAGGAAATTATAATTAGACAAAATTCCAATAGTCAATAAGTAGTCATATGCCCTAAGCACAGATCAGGAGTCTGCTTTGTTACAGCGGTTATGTATGACTTTCTTTCTGTTACATAAAATGTCACATGGGCAGGGCTCACTTCTCACTTATGTAAATGCCAAAACTGTAACCTCTTTAATTTCCAATATGTCCGCCACCTGCGTAGTGATAATACGAGCCATTTCGTTACCCCAGTACCGATTGGTCCGTCTCTCTAACTCGAAGCGTTAGTGAAAGTGAGGATCTTACAAAGCGAATCGCGTTCGATTATCTTAGCCGTAGACAGAGGTGTCCTTGCCAGGAGGATAAGTGGTACCGTCATAATAGCAAACTAATACATTATCGATATTACCAAATGATTAACGAAAGCTTTGTGAAAATTTCAACAGAGCCAACTCGATTTCATAAATCGTTAAGCTGTTCGTATTACTTGTCCAGACACTTATATAGTCTTCTTGAAATTTTCGTAATTTTCAATAAATATTCCGACGTAGGACGCATTTCGAAATGAATATACAGCAAATGCGATTCGTATATTGTAATCGTTCCAAGAATAAGTCCCCCACGAGTAATACTGATTGTCGGTAGTAGCCGGCATTTCACCTACCCAGAAATCCGCCTCTGCACTGGGAAATTATATACCGCATAGTAATATATATCTATATGCTCAATATGTAATATACCTGTCGATAGGTATCACGAACGTATGTAGCTTGCCGATATTCTTATGCATATATCTAGCATATAAGAATTCCTATAAATAATTCATGAATGTCCTGCGAAATGGTCCCGCAGAGGACACCGTGCGTATTTTACTTTTATAAAGCACGTTGTTATTTATATTACATATATGTACGAGCACCCTACAAATCGTATGGATTCCGCTTCGTGCGATCGAGCATTTAACGACACGCCAACACGACCTGCTCCCTCTAGCTCCGTTCCTCGTCCTTTTTCGATGCCGGTTTGTCTCTCGTTCACTCTCGGATTGTACTTATTATATACTCGACGTCCAAGAGTACCGGTGTAGGTACGTATCCTGAGCACTTTCAGTTGACCCCGATTGAGCCAACCAACGTTCACCAGGAATCGAAGCTGAACCTAGAACTGGTATCTTGTTTTACCTTGCGACTGAAACCACGTGCTCTAGGTTACCGTCTGATTTTATATACTGTAAGTTATGTATGTAGATTGGGTATCGATAGAAGTAATAGTTATTAATAAAAAAAATCAATAATAGACACTGTTAAGTGAATCAATCGATTTTCATTTTGAAAAATAATTTTTTTTAGAATCTATAAACTTTATGCTTTTATACAGTGAATATTTAGTTAATTTAATCATAATTTCTTGCATTGTATTGTCGAAGTCATGCTTGGCTAAGTCTATTATTTTTTTTTTAAGCGTTTACGACTAGATCTGTGAATGGAGAATTCAATCAGATTTTATTCTACCCTCGTGACCGCCGATGCTTCCCCAATAAGTTTTCGTACGATTATTCGTCAGGATAATGATCGACCTTGTAATAAGGTCGACGATCACCTCGGCAAAGTGTAAGGTCGCACATAAAAAGTAGAACAGCCTTCACTGTTAACGTTTCCGTGGCTTTGGATATGGATGCTTTTCCGTAAAGTCCATATACGATTAATTATCAGGATAACGGTACATAATTATCATAGTCGGATGACATCACGTCAAGTCTATTAATCCTGGTTGCTATGTGATAGACGCGAGTCTCCTCGAACGAGGAAAGTTTACGCGTATAACGGTTAAGCATTATTACACATATAATCCGCCATTTGTAAAAGAGAATTATAATAATGTCAAGGAGAAATAACGTAGTTAATATCCAAGACATTTACATACATTTCTCAGTACCTTCTCGGGCTACTATGACACCTTGTGTTTCTAACGTGTCATAATCATGTGTGTTGTATCCCGTATAATATATCTGTAGACTACCCGATTTCCTGCTCAGAACCGGACGGGGATCTTGTATAATGAATGGATGATCGATCGATCTATCATTCAGTGGAAAATGAAGGTTCGCCGGGATTATGAAAAAATTTCGAAAATATTTTTACTCTTTTAATCCTCCTGTCGGATGTTTAAAGTGAAACTTAAAAAAAATATTCTATTTACACAGAATCTTTAAAGAATTATCCAAATTCGAATTATACTTTATATTCATGCTTTTTATGTCCACGTGTGCTTTTTTTGATAGATATACAAAAAAAGCGGTCGATTCCTTTTTGTTTCTTTGACTCGAGTCAAACCTGTTTCAAGACTTCGGTACAACAATCGAATGTCCTTGCGACGTCTGTTTCTACTTGTGCACATAAAAAATCGTTAAATGAAACGAAGTCAGTTGGATTTGGTTAAAGACAGGAATCAACGAACGCGAATCAAAGTAAATACATAGAATTTGAGAAAATTTGTGAAATCATTGAAGTGACAAAAAATACACAAACGACATCAAAGAAATTGCTAAAATAAGAAATGACGAAAAAGACGTAATAAAAATTTTGGGAAAAAGAATTAACTTGTGACGCACCAGACATTGCGTAGTTCGGTATAATTCCTGGTCAAAAGCCTCGCTACGTGTTGTAACTTTACGTTTTGTCGCTCCTCTGCTCTTACAGTGGTACGCAACGATCTTGCGAGAAGAAAAATAAAAACGACCAATACTATGTCTACATTACGTCCTATTGATTTTACCGAAAAATCAAGATTAGACATCCTATTGGGTCTGTAATAACGATTTCACGCCCGTCGCCGTTATTGTAAACGAATCTGTCGCGTATTGAGAACCGGTAACATATGCTCCAGTAGTAAGCTCTTATATCGGTCAGACGTACAGTAGAACAATAAGAGTAAGTACAATGACATCCAGTAGCGCCACATAATGGTAAAACAGTTACGCGAGCAGCCTGTCATTATTTTCTTATTGTTACACCGCAGCTATTATTGTCTGAGCGCTTTTGCCTTACTGCATTAATAAATATTTCTTATTGGAAAATTGCACGCGTACTTATACTTTTTGGATACAACGAACAGACCCGTTCTCATACTGTATCAGGTAACGGTACTTGCGCTGGCGACACGTCGCGATCGTGAAAACACGTCCTGTTATGCAAACATTGTATTCTCACTATTTACTGTACGCTTATATGTAATTGCTTATGAGATTCGCAGGGATTTTATGTAATTAAAAAAATTTTTTTTTTCATTCGATACTACACCCATCATACGTTCTCGCCATACACATGCTTCGAGATTTTCTGGTTAAAACCACTTTCCATTTTGCTCCGTCACCATATGTTTTCACTCTCGGACGTTCACTCTCGGCTTCGATCACGCCGTTCCCTTTCAGCAAATCATTCGACGCCATCGCGGCAGCGCTCCTCTCCTTGTTTACCAGTTTTAATACATATACGACTATAAAGGCTTAATGTCATTCTTAACAATGGAGAATACTTGCGCAAACTTTGTACAGTTACGAATTTTATTTACCGTACAGTCGTTTTAGCTTCACGTACAGAAACCAGTTGATTTCGGAGTGATTGTAGATGACAGATACTATAGTAAGTAGTGTAAGCGCCGTTACCGTCGAAGGTTAATGTGGTAAGTGAAAAAGGGAATTAATGACATCAGGCAATTATATACGAGTTGGACAATCACAGAGTGTAATAATTATTATACACGATCTGGTAGTCCTTCGATATAAATTAATGGCCAAGGAACGATTTTCTATAGAGTATCTGGTTGAATAAAAGTATTCTATTTTTTTTTCATGTGTTTCGTATCTTTAATAAATGCCTACGTATTTCTATAGTGAATTATAGAAGATTTGAAAGTGACAATTCTTTAAATTATCATCTACACTGACTTTACGTGACTTTTGGGTACTTACGTGATAACGGTGAATTTCATGATGCTCCTTGTGTCTTTACTTCGCCCTGCGAGCGTCCCTCTTTTTTCCACTTGATGTAAGGATGAACTCGTGACTTTAAATGAAGCTTCGAAATCGAATCGTGGAGATAAATAAAGAAGCAAGAACGAAGCACACCACTGCAAACGCGGAGGCTGTGTACTTTGGAGTGCCGAGCGGAGTTTCCCCTTCTCTCTATATATATGGCACTCTCACTCTGGTACCAACCACCATACTCAACAGTCGATACCCCGTTGGTGTGTTTCTCATCCTGAGGGATTCACTCGTAGAAGCGAATCCGCCTCAGGTGGGGTCGTGTACGAAATAGGTTTCAACTTTGACCCAAAATATCGAAGTAGTCGTCGCGTGATAATGATAAATGGTAATAATGAAAATAATGATATATGTATATTTTGTAAAAATAAATTTAAATATAATAATAATAGTTACTTTGGTCATATATTGTTTTGGATTTTTTTTCATCGTTTCATTGAAGGTACGAAGGCCAATTTGCAGGTTATGTTTATGTTGTATGAAAAGTGGGAAATTGTTCGTTTTTTTTTTTTTTCTTAAATATATATATAACGTCAGCAAACTTTTACTAGAACGATTTTCGACGATTTCTCGAAAGTGAATTATTTTCGGTTTCGATACTCCCCGGTACAGGAAGTTTCACTCGGTATTCTGTAACGAAGCTTTGCAATTCCTTCGCACCTCGCGGCGCATCCATTCGTGCATGCATCGTGTAACAATGCATTTACAGCGGTAAAAGTCATTTCATGACGAAGTAAACATTCACTGCGCGTTTAATGTAAACGATCGTGATAAGAGTCTGTAAATTTAGAATAGGTAATTTTTCAAATAAATAAATCGACTACGTATAGATTAAGTGTCAAAAGCTAGTTGAAGTTTTTAAAAGTCAAGAGAGGCCATCGATACTTGCGATTATCACGTTGATGAGATCATTAAATAACTTGAATATGCAAATTGTATGCAACCTGCGAATTAACCAACGGTACGTGATGTGTATATCCATCCGCAAAGGAGTTATGCAAATTTCATCCCACAAATGCTATCTGTGATAAGACGTGTGACTATGAACAAAAATCATTACGCTAGAAAACAGTTTGCTAGGTTGGTATTAACGACGTGAATTAGCGTCAGGCATATAAAAGGATGATGTCACATGTCCCTGGCCAAAATTTTTCAACTTTTTATTTGCATTGCAAAGGTTTAGATAGTCGATTGAACAGTAGTCGTGGCACCATCTTCGAAAGTTTTTTCTTTTCTAATTTCATCCTATCGACTGCGACGATCGAACGAATTCCTTATGGCAATTTTAACGAGTGGGTCCGAGCAAAATTTATACGTGTTTCAGAGTCGATTTGGAATTTCTAAACGACGTAATAAAAAAAAAATTATCTGATTTTTGACCTGCCTCAACATTAAGAATCGTACATAAATAAAAATATAAACATCAAAATATTTAATATTACGAATATCATGGTGAAACAATATTTTGAAAATGACTTGAAATTATTTCATCCCTCGGGTCCGGTCGAGGCGTCTGGGGACGTCATAAAAAAATGTATTACCCAGTATATACCGACTGCACTGTTGTCCTCGAATCACGTAATTTATAACACGGTACTGAATCTACAACTCATCATCCTCGCAGGAGTGTCCCGAACAATGAGAATTCGAATTCCTCGGCTTTGTGGGTAAAAGCGAGAAACTATTGTCGCCATGGGGCAAGTAAAATTAATACATTTACCAAACTACCAAATACCCTAAGATTCTTATCCAACCATAGAAGTGAACAATAGGTCCATAAACGTTTACAAAAAAGATAATACAATTATAATAAATATTTCTAGACATTTTCAAAAAAATTCCGTACACCATTGGACAACGTGTTTTAGATCGCGCGTAAGCAGTGAAAGTAAAGATACGGTCCCGTACCTACCTTGCTGAAGGCAAGAATTCCACCGCAGTGTCCCTCATGCCCGATCATTCATTTGATTTTCAATTATTCAACGAGAGAAAAGAAGGAGATACGAATTAAGATTCAAGCCAAAAACACAAGATAAACAAGAAACACGTTACCAATATCATAAAAAAAAAGGTACCAAGCAAACACATAACCAAGGTATCAATTGAATATCAAGAGACAAGCATACAACAATCAAGGAACACTTTATACCTATATCCTCATAACCTATAAAATTGTCCATGAGCAGAGAAAGAAGAAGGAAAAAAAAGAAATCACCGCTCGCGATGTCTCGAATTTTTTATCGAAAAACATCCGAGAGCCCACGCGAGCCCAAATCTCAAAATCTAATACCACGCGCACCAGTGAAAACCAGTGCCAATATCATCACGCGTGAAAGTCAGCGCAATGAAAAATATACGGGATGCAATATTCGTCGATCGTGCCGCTTGTCCATTTAATTACGTGTCTTCTGACCTTTTCACGAAAGTCCCGCCGCCGGTTTACGATCGTTCTCCCCGATTGCTATACGTACAGTCGGATAAGTTAGATATACGAGGAGCTGGGAGACGCTGCTCGAAATCGTCGAAAACGTTGTGAAAGATATTTGTAGTCGGTGCGTTTACGTAGCGTCGACAGGCGTCTCCTGGTTCGTCACTCATAAGAATACATGATGGGGCCCCGAGGCTTTGGATACGGAGGTGAATCCATACGTTGAATTGCTCCACCCTGAGCTGGAGGCAGTTCCGGCATTTCCGAGGTGCGTCCATCTTGGAGACAGCATATATATATATATATAGGTTGGTATACACTACAGAATCCCTGTATAAAGTGTGATCGAATTATTTATCGATAATTGGGACCCGACAGGTCCACCTCGACAGGAATGCGGTCCGATTTCAGGGCAGAGTAGCACGGTGGCTGCAAGTTACATATCTGTCATCTTATGTAACATTCACTGTAAGAGAAAATGAGACTGTGCGGGTATAAAAGCGTATCACGCTATACCTATTATACACGCATGATACATAAATACATGCACGAGTCGCGATCTCTTATGGGACCGCGTGCTATCCTGTCCAAAACACCGTGTTGCGTCATGTGGAGCAATTAAATACATATTTATCGAAAAGTGCCCCGCCCCTCTTCAGCCCTCTGGGTTTTTTCAAACGTGACACGAGGATCCAATTTTTTATTCATATTGTGTTAGTCAGAAGCCTGATGTGATTTTTAAAGATTATATATTGGAAATAATATATATGTATATATACGTATATGAATTCACAGCCCGAGCCAAGGTCTTGAAACAAAGCCTTGTAGTACTGGCTGTAGTAGGATTGATTCCAAGACTCATGTGATATTTTGGTTATGATCTTTGGTATTCTTACGCGGCCTCTCGCTGCATTCTGAAGTGCGAAGGAGGCTGATATACTGGTGAGAAGGCGCCATGAAATAATCGACTTGACGACGTCGGCGTCGAATGGACACCTCGTGGAGCCAAGATTAATCAGAGAGTCGAAAAGAAAGTCGCTGCCAGGATGGTTGCTCCCTGGACAGTCAGTCAGTCAGACTTGGTTGGCAGGCTTGACTTTGGTTCGACTCTCTTCGTTACTCTGCTTGCCGATCCAATAAAGGGAGTGGCCAGTTCAGACTACCTAACCTAACCTGATCTGATCGGATTCGCGATTCGATTCACAAGACACTTCGATCGAATAAGGTCAGGTTCAATTTCTCCGCCATAGTGGCTGCCCCAACTGAACTCTAATGGGCTATGTATGCTTTTGACTTGTACGGTTGTTGCAATTGGATGTACTGAAAGACGTGGGTATTGTTTTATATTATGTACATTTATTATTATATTCGTGATAACGTTATATTAATTTCTTGGGTCAGTAAATCATCTGGATATCTCCGAATATTTCGGTTCATGAAATACAGAGGATGTTGACACCGGGATATGATGGAGGGCGATGCAATGTGTTACAAGACTTGCGGAACGATGAAAGTTGACTGATAAGTAAATATTACAAGTTGAATTGTCGTGGTTGACTCTTATCTGGGAGTAAGAAGTTGGCGCTAGACATCAAGCGTAAATAGTTGTGACAGTGAGTGGCTAATTCTTTCTTTTTCGACTGATCGATGTCTTAACAAGAAAAATGAACGTGCGGATGTGACAATAGGATGCTTGGTGGATGTAGAAATGGCTATTGTTTTTTAGCCCAAATAATAATGGTTAATAGGAAATATTTTTTGTAAAGGAATTTTATTACGAGAAGTGATGGATATTTGAATCAGCATGCTTGGTCGATGCTATGGATGTGTTATTTCCAAAGGTATCATATGATATTGATGAATCACCCGTGAAAGCTGTCATTTTCTATATGTTGCTATGGATGTGATATACGTTGATTCGAAAACTGATATTTCTAATGTCAATAGGTATGTACGTGTATTGACTTGATGAATGGAGATATAATGTATGTAACAATAGTTTCCCCTAACGTAAAATGTGGGTTACGTTTTTTCGTCAAGTAGTACTCTATAAGGAATCACTTAATGTTTTATAAATTATTAAATGACAATTCAATCAAATGACAAATCATCAACAAGTATAAGCAGCAGTAATAACACAAAGGAGTAGGGAAGACGTTAGTTGAAATTCTATAAAAGAATTTAAATTATTTGCTTGTGCCAGATCGAGTTAAAAGCATACATAGTCCATTAGCGTAAGGAGTCTCGATTGGCTGTTGCCTGTAACGTTGGTTGCTTGTACGTGATGCGAGAATTTACCGAGTCGCTTAAAAAAGATACGATGACGTCCTATTGCACGATCCGAGCCAGTAGGCGGCGGACGCGTCGGTAACCAAGTTACCAAGCGCGGGTAACAAATACTACGAGAAGCCGCTTTCCGACGTGGCGGGAGTTGTGCAGTCACGAAAGAATTCAGTATAACAGAAATTACCTAGTCGTATGCCGCGAAGGCTCGAACGGCGCAATATAGATTGTTCATTTTCTCGTATTGCATGCGACGTGTGTCTCACGGATTTCCTCTTTGCACTTGTCCTTCGCGATACCCAACAAAGGTAATGCAGCCAGCGCCATTCGTCGTCTAAAAAGGTAATGTTTTAATGTGAATAGTTACTTTGATAGTTTCTAATTCTGTTTAGTAGTAAGCACCATCGTTCAGTGCATTTGTAACTGTGGTATTTCAGCCGGTAACTCAATTGTGACATCCAGTCTCACTTGAGGCCAATCCTTGTAACATACCTAGTCCATTTACCTTCAGCCAACGATTATTTATCAGTTCGTCTTACCATTTCAGTACCCGAATGGATTATTTTGCTTTTATACTGTCAGCTTAGTTAATCTTGAGGATAGAGTCTATGCGCTGGATCAGAGAATGCGGCAGTATCTCTCTATCCAGTGGCGCCATCTCTGCGCGCAAGCGTGGCTACTGAAAGAACTAAATATCCGAGTCCCACTGGATCACTTGTTGCGTCGCCGCCGACCTGTCGTCCGGTTCGTCCTCCGGCCCGCGCTGTCACGAATTTTGTTATTTTTCACGACGTGGTCATAATCTCAACGTTCCTCTGGCGCATCCAGTGAAAAGTGTGAAAGTGAAGTGAAAAGTTAGCCTGTGTAAAGTGTTTAAGTTTTGAAAAAACTCAATGTGTCTCTCGGTCAAGCAAAATGATTCCTGCGCGCAAGGATATTACTGACAGTGATTTGTTTTGTTTGTTTTACGCGCCGGCAGCTGAAATCATGGTAAGTGGGGATCGAATATATACTGCAGTAGGGATAAGTTTTATCTTTTTAATTACCATAAGTGACGGCAATGCAACACCCGCGTAGATCAACGTAAATCATTCCGTGTAAGATTAAAGAGAAAAAATATATTAGGGAGTCACGATAACGGAGATGTCTGTATGAAATAATGAAAGATCCATAGTACAATTATGAAGGGAAGAGGGCGAAATAAGTGAAACGAATTAAGATACAATATTACGGACGGAGAATGCGGCGTGCAGCCCGAGAGAAATGACGTGTGGTAATAAATATCATAATGGACGCGATACGGGCATTGTTATTAGTCAGATTGCCTGTACCGAGACGTTGATGGCTAACAGCTTCGTTTAATCCAGCTTATATGAGCCATTGCTCTTTCTGTTTACATTCCCGTTATTCCTTTACTACACACAATTTCAATAAGCCCACCGTCCATCTTTGTCAAGAGCACGGAAAAATCGGTACGTGCTTCTGCAGGATTCTTTGTCCCCAAGACCTTTTGGGTTTTAGCGTCTAACCGTTCTGCACCAGGTACCTATAGTCACACTGTACACGGACCCATTCGCATTCACGGTGCATCCGTCGGAATCCTCTGCATTCTCCGATTCTTTATTCTCTCCTTATATTTATCTCTCTTTCTCTTGCTGCCTCTTCTTTCTTCTCTTGTACCACCCCTGCACAATGTATACCTACATCCAAGAGATACCCTTGGCCATTGGTTAGCTACGTACACGATCACGGTGTATTATGTCTATACGTTAAAATACAATCCTGTCGATGCTCGCGGGCCGAAAACCAGTTCTCAGAGAGCGGCTTTGCGATTGCGACAAGTACACTATGTAGTTACGTATACTTCTATGTGGTTAACAAATTAATGTATCAGGATTTGCCAGTGTCTTTCTCTCTCTTTCTCGCTGTACACCACTGTTTCATATCTGCTCTCTATTTGTTGGATTCGAATCTATGGACAGTCATATACCCAATTGGATTTATCAAAGAGACGCAAGGTACAGATCTGAACCATTGCGTGAAAGGAGAACGTGCCCGAAATAATGTTCTCCCCTAACGAAAAGCGAAGCTACCGTCTGGACCGAAATAGGCGGTGGTGGCAGAGGAAGATTTCTTCTGCCGCCCTAGTCATTCAAAAGAAATAGTGTATATGGTATACCGTAGTATACGGGGCGGAGCATTTATAGTGACTAGGTTGATTTTTTCGAAAATGAAGCTAGATTTTTAAAAACGTT